TTAACTCCCAATATTTCCTACACGCAATGACAAGTAGGCCCCCTCAAATCTACCACACGTTTCCTCACCGCAAAATGTCTCTTTCTCCTGTTGTGTCCCTCTTTGATCCTCTCTTCTCATATTTTGGTTGTGGTACGTCAACCTTCACGCCGCTTACAACAAACTCGACTTCACCTCAACCTTCTCTGTTCAACCCCAGCCGTCGCCTCACCGATGGACCTTTAATCATGACCCCTGTACATTGCTACCATGAAACCTTCTCATGACTCCCTAAGGCCGTCGCTTGCATAGGACCCCATCCACTTCCCCGAGAGCACGCACGAGAGGTCCACTGATGTAGGTCAAGCCTCTAGGGTGGCCCGATCTTCACAAACTGGAAGTGGATTTGAGGAAGAACACGAGGGAAATCACGAGGGGAAACACACAAATCAACACACATAGCAAATAAGGATATACACATAGATAGATCCATTGTACAAAGCATCCAAAGAGTGAGATGTAACAAGATAGTTCTTCCCCAAGTGGCAGGACAAGGAGGGCTTGATGCTTCTACGAAGCCTTTCTCTTGACAAAGGAGCTCTTGACATGGTGATGTCCGTAGGATGCTCCGCATCATCCCCTCTCCCTTGGGAACATCCGACCTCGAATCGAGATCCTCATCACCATGGGAAAGTGTAGGATCAAAAGTATGTCTAGAAGGGGGGGGTGATTAGACTACTTGACCAAATAAAAACTTATCATTTTCCCAATTTTAGTTGTAGGCAAGTTTTAGCAATTCTATGAAGTCAAGCAACACCCTACACATTCAAGTCTAAGAGTTGAGTAGCAGAAAGTAAAGACTTTGCATATGAACGTAAAGGAGGGATCAGAGAAATCGAACGCAATGAAGATACAATGATTTTTGGCATGGTTCCGATAGGTGGTGCTATCGCACGTTCACGTTGATGGAGACTTCAACCCACGAAGGGTAACGGTTGCGCGAGTCCATAGAGGGCTCCACCCACGAAGGGTCCACGAAGAAGCAACCTTGTCTATTCCACCATGGCTTACGTCCATGAAGGATTAGCCTCACTCGGGGTAGATCTTCATGAAGTAGGCGATCTCCTTGCCCTTACAAACTCCTTGGTTCAAATCCACAAGATCTTGGATGCTCCCAAGTGACACCTAACCAATCTAGGAGACACCACTCCCCAAAAGGTAATAGCTGGTGTTGTTGATGATAAACTCCTTGCTCTTGTGCTTCAAAAGATAGTCTCCTCAACACTCAATCACTCTCTCATAGATTTGGCTTTGATAGGAGAAGGATTGGAGTGGAAAGCAACTCGGGGAGGCTAGAAATCAAGGTTCAAATGGTTGGATTGGAATGGCTTGATCTCAACACATGACTAGGTGGTTCTCTCTCAGAAAATGAATGGTGGAAGTGTAGTTTCATTCCGATTGCTCTCTCTAAGAGAAGGTGAGGTGGAGGGGTATTTATAACCATCACCCATAATCCAACCGTTACAGTCTTTTGACTCAACTCGGTGGTACCGAACCAAAAACTCGGTGAGACCGACCTGTGTAAAAGATATGAACGTTGTGCTTTTCGGTGAAACTGAACTAGAAATCTCGGACGGACTGAAATGCAATGACCTAGGCAAGACTTCGTTTCGATAATTCCAATCGGTTCAACTCGATGATACCAAAATGAACAAACTGGCTTACACTTGGTCACTTCAACTCGGTGAAACCAATCGTCATCTGTTGAGATCAAAATTCTAGGGTTTGGCTCTGGCAGTGTATAGGATCAACTCAGTGAGTCCGGAATGTATGTTTTCAATGAGACCGAGTTGGATATTTAGGGTTTGGACATATATGATTTGGATAAAGTGGTTGAGGGTTTTTGGAGCAACATCTTCAAGCACTTGAGCAATTGAGTCATGACCAAAACCTCATCCCCTTTTAATAGTATTGGATTTCATATGGACTCAATGTGATCTTGGATCACTTAACAAAAAATGTAGAGTCTTGAAGCTTGGACAATCCATGTCCTTAGCATTTTGAGGGGTCCAAAATCTTATGTCCTTGCCATGCTAATCATTAAACTTCTCTGAAATCTATTTTCAATAAGCATTAGTTCAATGATATATATGTTGTTAAGAATTACCAAAATCACCTGGGGATTAGTTGCACTTCTAATCACCCTTTTTGGTAATTGATGACAACATATAGATCAAAGTTTCGACAAATGATATAATCAATGAAATACATCATCACTTTGAGAGGTATGTGATAAAAGTGCTCCCCCTAAATTTGTGCATTATTAAAAATTTACATTTGAAAGCAATTGCACAATCGATTAGGATCATGGGTCACTCTTCCATGTCACATACATCTTGATGGGGCACTCAAAATGATATGAATGAAATGTGACAAGCACTCATCACCAAGCACATAAGTGAATGATCATACAAAGATCATATGGATAGATATTTAAGTATGCATAGCATCAAATTACAGTATGATCAAGCACAAAGTAACATAGTCTCATACAAGCATCAGCCAAAAGTAGCACGAAACTCAAAGAAAACTAAGCGTGAAAAGCAAAGCACTCTCTCAAAGCTCTAATGATCTATACTAGTTCTCCCCTTTGGTAACAAGTACCAAAAAGTTTGAAAGAGGAAAGAGCTAAACATCGCTAGGAGCTTGCTCTCTAGTATCTCCTAGTGGTGAAGTCCTCTGACTTGCAACTCAGGTGTGCGTAGACATGGTTGGAGTAGAGATGAGTGTGTGTGCTGTGCAAAGATATCGGATGATGTCTGCTGGACTGGGGGTGTAGATACAG